TCTCTCTCTCTCTCTCTCTCTCTCTCTCTCTCTCTCTCTCTCTCTCTCGGTATCATTACATTTGATGACTTCCATTTTGGATAAACTCATCCCTGAGATTCCTTGCTTCCTGCAATCTGATTGCCAGGGTCAGTGGTCCTAACGTCTGTCTCCCCCTTGTCTGTTCCAGGTATGATTTCGTAGAGGTAGAGGAGCCCAGTGATGGAAGTGTCCTGGGGCGCTGGTGTGGCTCTGCTGCTGCCCCAGGAAAACAGATTTCTAAAGGAAATCAGATCCGGATAAAATTTGTGTCTGATGAGTATTTCCCTTCGGAGCCCGGGTTCTGCATCCACTACAGCATTGTCATGCCTGTAAGTAGCACCCTGAGAGCCCCATCAATTGCATCAGCTTCTGGCTGCCTTGACCCCCCCCCCCTTAAATATGGAAATCAAAAGCCCAAAGCCTTTTTCCCAGCCTGGGTTTTATCCTCCATAAATTTTACTGTATTTATTTAAAAAGCAATGATGTTTACCATACACAACTAGCAATATTTGGAACCTTATCAGTGTAATAAAGTATGTGGTTTACATTTATAAGGTTATACCCCTTACCCCAGCTCACTGACTGGGATTTCAGCACTAGTGAGAAACTACAAAGGGAAAATTTATGTTGTGGATTAATTTCTTATCACTTAGGAATTATCATAAAATTCAACTCCACAATGTCTCACTTAATTTTTAGTGTAGATCATACTAATAATTAAACATTTTAATAAGTATTAAAATATTTTTAGTATTCTAGCAGTTTTTTTAAATGTATTTGGTACAGGGTCTCACTACATAGCTCGGACTCATAGTGATCCTTCTGTTTTCAGCCTCTCTAGTGCTGGGATTACAGGAATGCATCACCACACCCAATCCTGGTGGCTGACTCAGCATGCCTGGGGATAGGCCAGGGTGGCATGTGGTGCCAGAGATCGAACTCTGGTCTCTGCACTTGCCTAAGCAGGCATTCAGTCTGCTGAGCTATTATGCAGGCCCTATTCTGACTTTTTTTTTTGGTGGAACCGGGGATTGAAGTCAGGCCATTGTGCTTGCCAGGGAAGCATTTATTCTAATGAGCCATTTCCCTGGCCCCTTCTAACATTTTTGGTGACTCTAATAAATATTTTCGCAGTTTAGAAATTTTATTTTTTATTTAAAGATATAATATTTGAAAGTTACACAGTATTCTGGGCTTTTCAAATTAATGTGGAGTTTGGGGGATGAACCTTCTACAGAGTAAAGAAGCCCGCACTACTTGAAATTTTGACTATGTATATGTAGTCAAAAACTCATACTTATAGTGTATTTTTTTTCCACATTGAAGTGGCATCATTTTTCTATGAATGTACCAAAATTTTATTTTTAGATATATCATCTATAAAAATAAACCCATCATTTTTCTTTTCATCTTTGTTTGCTAGAGAAGAACAAACATGTTACTCTTCTCAGATGCATATATGATCAATATATTTAAATACAGTTATCTTGATTTTCCTATTTGTCTTAAAATTTATCCTGCTTGAATAATATTCATGGTCTTTCTATCTTCCAGAAGTTTTAAAATTCTCAATGAAATTTAAGAAATATTTCTGGGGCCTGGAAGATGGCTCAGTAGAGTAAGCACTTCTCTGGCAAGCGCAAGGGTCTGAGTTCAATCCCCAGTTCC